CTAAATATATATATATATATATATATATACATACATACATATATTTTTTAAATCTTCTATTTTACTCATTTTTTTCCCATCTGTACTAAGACAAAACATGTTAAAGTCAGTTATATAGGAATTTGGGGTAGGTCTTTGCCCGAGAGCCATATGTTTTAAAATTTTGCCCATATGTATATAGAAAGTTGATAAAACAAATGTTTTGAAATAATCATAGATTATAAGTTATATTTGTGAATTAGTACCAAATCCTTGAAGCAGCCCAGTGTTTGATGTGAAATACATATTTTTTATTTTTAAATTGCTAAGCATTGTTAACTTTGTTTGGAAACTTCAAAAGGTGTGTATATCCAAAAAAAAACATGAGATTCAGTGAATATGAAAATTATAAGCATGCTAAAGTTCATTTGAAATGTATGTCAACGTTTTGTTTCTTAAGCTGTATTTCAAGAAAGTATTTCTTGTAAAGCCATATGTTTTCACGCTTCTGTACATACATTATTTTGTTATATACAGAAATATAATAGAACTCTTGTTTATTAGAAAGTTTGTGTTGGTATTTAATGTTCTATTTTTGTGTATAATAACTTTGTGATGATTATAACCTTTTACTATTGTTTCTGTGCTCCAGTAGTTTTTTTGGGGAAGTACTTTATCACATAGAATATATTTCTTTCTCAAGAAAAAAAAATTTATTTTGCTATGTAGTGTTACTTCAGTGATGATGTGTAAAATTAACACAAAATTCAGATTTGTCGAAACTGCCACAAATATTAAGACACTTTGCTTTGACATTGTTATGTTAAATATTATAAAGTGAGGTCTTTTCAGTTCTTCAAAAAAAATTTGAACACTATTTTGTGTAAAATGTTCCAATTTATCTTAATAATACCCAAATTTTTTAAAGAATTAAAAAAGGCTGTATTCCATAAAGTTTGTTAAACTTCATTTTAAAATACAAATTTTATTACTTGTTTTTTTTCTGTATTTTAGAAAATATTTTTATCAATTTAAAAACAAGGTAATTTGAACGGTTTATTATGCTGGTATGTTTTAGGATAAAGTAGCCAAGTATCTAAATGATCACAAAAAATTAAAAAAAGCAAAAAGTAGCCAGTTTGGTACTCAGTTAGAATGGTTGTTGTTTCATGTATGAAACTGTAACTTGTTTTATTTTATAATAAACATCCATAACAAGACTTGAGCTTCATGGTACATGTTTACTTTACATAAAACTTGTAATAAAAATAGCATGCACAAATTCATAATAATACATTTTAAGTAAGTGCAAGAAGAAATAAAAGAAAAATTACTAATAAACTTATAAAAAATATTTCAATTTTTCTATACTAACTAACCTTAAAAACTATGGTAGTTTTTTTAAACATCACATTTTTTCCCTAGGAGGTAACTTCAAAAATCAGTGTACCTAAGTTCTTAAACCTTAATTTATTTGGATGATTGTGTACTTATTCAGTAAGTCACTGAATAAACTATTGTGTAATATATTGATAAAACTGTATTTATAAAAAATTTAAATATAAACAAAATTATTTTTATATATCCTAAGAAGTATTCAAATTGGATAAACAGAAAAGTTAATGCATGCAAGAGTATAAGTAGGTGAATATAGATGTTTTACTGAAGTCTTAAAAATATATTGGTTATCAACTGACTATTAATGTGTGTAAACTATAAAAATCATTTTTGTACTCTCTCTTCTAAACTATAAACAAATTAGTTAAGAAAGTAGTAGTAATTAAAAAAATTAGGAATATGGATTTTTTAAGGTCTAAAGACCTACTACTTTGTGTAGATTAAATTTTGATTTTTTGCCTCATCTATATAAAATGTATGGAAATAAAATACAGTCCTGATATCATGATCACTGAAGAATTTAGGATATTTTTAATATTGAAGTATTTAAAAGTAATGTTCTTATTATTTTTTTTATTTATCAATGAAAACATCATTGATTAAACAGAATGAGAATAGTTATTAGGAAAATTATTTCAATTAATTTCTAATTTTAACATAACAGCAAATGTACAATGTTTCGACAAGGTTTTATCATCATCAGGCACCTGATGATGATAAAACCTT